TTGTCACTTGATGGGGTGCACGTGGTTGCTAAAAAGATGCTGACTGACACACGTGGGCTCAATCCAGCCCCTGGGGGTGGCACACACCACCTTGACACCGCCCGCGAAGCACGTACGCAGCCTCAGCAGCGGGGAACCGTTTCTTTTAAGGATTTAAAATGATTTTTTAATACATTTGGGGAATGTTTTTTGCCCCTGCTGATACCAAACCATGGGGCAGCAGCCACGAAAAAAAAACCCCCCCCCCCCCCAGGTATCTCCCCATGCAGATGTAGCAGCTGTGAGATGAAAACCGGTCCCCGGTGCTGGGCTTCCAACCCCTTCCCCTGCCCAGAGCCCCTGCAGAAATCCTCAGGATGAGCAGAGTCCCTGTTGCTTGCAGTGCTTTAGCCAGGCTTTGCCCTCCTGCCGTTGCACATTTCTCTCTTTGCTTTTCCACCACTTCCAAAAGCCAGTGCTGGAAACCTCCCTCCTCCTGGAGCTGCCGCCGCTCGCGCTTGAGCTCCACGTTCCCTTCGGCCCATGCATGACAGGGCTGGACTGTTCTGGGCTGGAGAGCCATGCATGGGGTTTCTGAAAGACATTTTATATCAGGGTAGCAGCAAAAAGAAGGGAGGCATTGCTCCGTGGCCTCTCGGGGGCTGAATGGTCCAGCCTGTGTGCCTGGGGCTGCTCGTGGCTCCGTACGATCTCTCCGAAGCCAGAAGAAAGCTGCGAGTCAGAGGAGCAGGAAAAATAGAACTTTTTATTGGCACAGCACGATGGTTTCCTGGCAGTGGAGTTCTATTTTATATAGCCCTTATTATTCGTCTGAATAAGCCTTTATATCCCCCTTGGATGGAGGAGAGGCTGCATAAATATACCATTTTAACATATATAATACCTTCTAGGCTTGAACTCAGTAACATGGAGGCACCTGGAAAAATATTAGCTTGCAGAACTTGCTTACTGTGCAGGTATCCTTGTGATAAAAATCACCTCCATCAAACCATGGGGATGGGCACCAGCCCTCGCCCTGCTCCAGGCCAAGGAGCAAACACCAGGTTCCTGTAAGATGTCCATGGAACAGCAGAATGAGGATTCTCCTTTATGGGCAGAGGCAGAGCTTGCAGCAGCAGAGGATCTCAGTGCTGTTGAGGCAGCACCTCAAATCCTGGGCTCAGTTTTGGGCCCCTCACTCCCAGAAGGACCTTGAGGGGCTGGAGCACGGCCAGAGAAGGGCAATGGAGCTGGGGAAGGGTCTAGAGCCCAGGTGTGGTGAGGAGCAGCTGAGGGAGCTGGGGGTGCTGAGCCTGGAGCAAAGGAGGCTCAGGGGAGACCTTCTGGCTCTGCACAGCTCCTGACAGGAGCCTGGAGCCAGGGGGGGGTCAGGCTCTGCTCCCAAGGGACAAGGGACAGGACAAGAGGAAATGGCCTCAAGTTGCCCAAGGGGAGGTTGAGGTTGGCCCTGAGGAACAATTTCTTCCCCTTGAGGGTTGCCCAGGGCTGTGCCAGGCTGCCCAGGGCAGTGGTGGAGTCCCCACCCCTGGAGGGGTTTCCAAGCCGTGGAGATGTGGTGTGAGGGACACGGGGCAGTGGGGACCTGGCAGTACTGGGGGAATGGTTGGACTTGATGATCTTAAAGGTCTTTTCCAAGCTGAATGATTCTGTGGTTCTGTGTTTGCTGGTGGCCCATGTGCTGGCCCAGCTGGGAGGGACAGAGGAGTAGGGGCTGCAGGAAAGCAAGGAGTCTGCCCATGAGGATCCCTCTGTTCCTCAGCATGGGTGAAGGAGGAGGAAGAGGAAGAAGAGTAGGAGGTCATGCAGCCCACAAACAGTGCCAAGGTGGGAACTGACAGTGGACCTTGCTGGAAGCTTTATAGAGTCTTTTGGTCCCATACCTGTCCCAGACCCACGTGGGTGGTGGTTCTCTCCAGTGCAGTCTCCCTTGCAGCAGTGCAGGGTTAGCAGGTTGGGTTTGGGGAGCACCAAATCCCAAATGAAAAACAAAAACAAAAACGGGCAAAGAAAACACCCCAAATGAGCATTTTCACAGCTGCCAGGTGCCTTGTTGGGGTTCAGTGTTGGAGCAGCACCCAGCCAGATGCCTTCCTAGAAGCCTGGCTGATGTTTTCTCCGAGCTGCTGCTACCCCAAGCAGCATCCCCATCACTTCTCTGCGTATCTCAAAAAAAAAAGGAGCTATTGAGAGAGTTTGAGCTTCCTCTGCAAGTAGGAGTCTGTGCAGAGGCATGGGGAGGAGCGTGAGGACACAAATTCTCTGAGTTGGCAGCTTGACCCTCTCATTCACCCACCAGCAGGACCAAAACCATCCAGAGGCCAGACCAGAGCCACCTCTATGGGGTGTGGGCCAGCTGGGACTCAGGCAGGGCTGCCAGGAGGGACAAATCCCAGCCCACTCGTCCCCTCTCCATCCTTCCATTCACCTTGGCTGCTTTTCCACCTAAGACATTGTGCATGTGTTTTGTTTCTTTTTTTGCTTGAACTTTGGTTTGCAGTTAATTTACACTTTTTCTTTGCTTTGTTGCCATATTTCTGATTGCTTTTTTTTTTCTTTCTGCCTCCTTTTCTTTTTGTTTGTTTTTTTTTTGTTTTTTCGCCTTGCCATCTACAGCCAGGCTATGTAAGAGACTTGGTAAGTGACAGCAACAATAAAATTAAGATCCATTTAAGATAAAACAGCCTAGATCCCCTTTAGGTTTGGGGAGCAGCAATGAAAATACCAAACACACACCACCACCACCCCCCCCCAGTTGGCGACACGTGGGCCCTGTTTGGTTTCTATACTGGTCCCCAGTGGTTTATACTGCAAAACTGGAAACCCTACAGCAGAAATTTGCCCTGCTGCTTGCTTACATCCTGCATCTTCACCTAGAGGAGCCTGAGCAGCTCGTTGCCTCCAGATGGCACGGAGCTAGATTGGCTTTTACACATCTGGAGAGGGCAGCGCCCGCGGTGGCGCAGGCTTTGAGCAGTGCTAGCTGAACAAAGAAGGGGTAGAAGTGGTGGATTCTCTGCTGGGAAACATGGGGGGCTCCAGGACTCCCCCAGGGTCATCACCCATCGGGGGGCTGCCAGCACCAAGCCCCCCAGGCCAGCCTAACACCTGCGTGTCTCGCCGCCCGCAGATCACGGCGCGCATCCTGGAGGCCCACCAGAACGTGGCCCAGATGAGCCTCATCGAGGCCAAGATGCGCTTCATCCAAGCCTGGCAGTCACTGCCCGAGTTTGGCATCACCCATTTCATTGCCAGGTCAGTGGGGCAGGGGTGGGGTGGGGTGGGAGGAATTTCACGGAGCGATCCGTGCGGAGCAGCGGTGGCCTCGGCTGGGGGAGTCTTTTGGGAAGGGACGTGGGGGGACTAGTCCAGGAGAAGCTGGATGTGAGCCACCCATGTGCAGCACCAGCCCAGAAGGCCAAGGGCAGCCTGGGCTGCATCCAGAGAAGTGTGGCCAGCAGATGGAGAGAGGTGATTCTGCCCCTCTGCTCTGCCCTGGTGAGGCCTCACCCGGAGTCCTGTGGCCAGCTCTGGAGCACAAGAAGGACGTGGAGCTGTTGGAGCGTGTCCAGCAGAGAGCCACAAAAATGCTCCGAGGGCTGGAGCAGCTCTGCTGTGAGGACAGGCTGAGGGAGTTGGGGCTGTTCAGCCTGGAGAAGAGGGGGCTCCAGGGGGACCTTATAACAACCCTCCCGTACCTGAGAGGGGCTACAAGAAAGCAGGGGAGGGGCTGTTCACAAGGGTTTGGAGGGACAGGATGAGGGGTGATGGCTTTGAGCTAGAAAAGGGGAGGTTTAGGTTAGGCATTAGGATGAAGTTATCTAATATGAGGGTGATAGATCAACTGGAATAGGTTGCCCAGAGAGGTGGTGGAGACCCCATCCCTGAAGGTATTCAAGATCAGGCTGGGTCATGCTCTGAGCAGCTTGATGTCTCTGCCTGTAGCAGGGGACTGGACTAGGTGACCTTCAGAGGTCCCTTCCAACCCACACATTCTACAATTCCAAGTCACACCAGAACCAAATTAAAAGCATTAATTGCCTGGACTTAGAAACCCCATTTCCTAAGCTGACGGGGCCACTGACTTCAAGAGGCAGAGCCGGGTGTGGGGGTGGCTGTTGGTGAACCCCTCTCCATGTCCCAGGTTCCAGGGGGGTAAGAAGGAGGAGCTGATCGGCATCGCCTACAACCGCCTGATCCGGATGGACGCCAGCACCGGCGACGCCGTCAAAACCTGGAGGTTCAGCAACATGAAGCAGTGGAACGTCAACTGGGAGATCAAAATGGTGAGCTGGTGTTCAGCCCTCCTTCACTGCTCCCCTTCCAGTCATGTGCAAGTTTTCTCTGGTCTCTGAGCACCCTCTCAGAGGCAGCGAAATAAAATCAAAGTTCAGAACTGATGCTCGAGCTGGATCCTAACCAGGAGCATCAATGCCCTGGGCCCTCTCCAGGCTCAAATTCCTTTCCTTCGCAGTACAGCTCAGACCTTCATGGAAGGAAAAGCAACAGTAGACACCACTGGGCTCCGAGATGGGCTTTGACCCAACCATTCCATTTGGATGCACAAACCTCTTGTGCTCCTTTTTGGCAGAACACCCAATTAAAATGGTCAGGGACACGCACGGGCTGTTCTCCTGTGGTCTGCGGCTCGTTAAGAGCTGCTGGAGAAATCCTTCAGCTTCCCCTATGCCTCAGGGTCTTTGTTTTGACCCAGTTGCAAGCCCCCAGATCCCAATTATTCAGCTCGGGTACTCTGCTGGGTATCGCCCTCCCTCCTGCAGAGCTGGCGGTGATGGGGGGACAAAAAAATCACTGGTGTCAATAAATGGAGGGTCTGTTCAGCTCTGAAATGAGCTCCCCCAGCCCCCATAAAGCATTTCTAAGGCCAAACTTCAGCTTGCAAAGCCAGAATATACTCAGAGGGAAAATTGGAAAGAAATCCCAGGTCTGTGCCCAGTCTCTCTTTCTCCTGAAGCAAAGATGTTGCCTCATGCTGGGTGCTGAGAGGTGCAGTGGTTTTTTTTTTTTTTTACATTACATGCTGGGTAATTGTCTCTCTGGGATGGGAGAATACAAGGTATAAAGGTAATTTAAAGTAATGTATAGATGCAGAAATTTTTATTCTATTTATTTAAATAATACTGAATCACTTATCACATTTATTTTTTTTATCACATTTATTGATTATCACTTATCACATTTATTTGAATAATACTGAATTCACTGAATCAGAGAATAGCCCAGGTTGGAAGGGACCCCTGAGATCACTGAATCCAAAGCATCATTTCATAGAATCCTAGAATCACCATGGTTGGAAAGGACCTTTAGGATCAGCAAGTCCAACCTTCCTCCCACCATCTCCCTCACCACCAGACCACGGCCTCAAGTGCTACAGCTACTTGTTTTTTGAACCCCTCCAGGGGTGGTGACTCCAGCACCTCTCTGGGCAGCCCCTTCCAAGCGCCTCACCACTCTCTCAGGGAAGAAATTCTTCCCAATATCCAATCCAAATATTTCAGCACCCTTTTTTCTGCTGAGACAGCAGAAAAAAAACCTTCTGTAAAGAAAAATAAGGCAGAAAGGCAGATCCTACAGCAGCATAAACCCCTGGGGAGTGTCTAACCCCTGTCTTGTCCCTCCAAGGTGACGGTGGAGTTCGCAGACGATGTCAGGGTGTCCTTCATCTGCACGGAGGTGGATTGCAAGGTGGTGCACGAGTTCATCGGGGGCTACATCTTCCTGTCCACACGAGCCAAGGACCAGAACGAGAGTTTAGACGAAGAGATGTTCTACAAACTGACCAGCGGCTGGGTCTGAGGCCCAGGGACTGTGCACCCCCAGGAAACCCCCTGGCCATAGTCATATTTAACGTTCAAAAAGCTGTTCTTTGAGATATGCTGCTTAATAAAAGTAAGCTTGAAATGTATCTTTTTTTTTTTTTGGATCATGGAAATTTTTTTTTTTTGTTTTTTTTTTGCATTACCAGCCCAGTTAATCCGTGTGCACTAATGAGCACTTCTGTTAATTAGCTATGACGAGACCATGGCTGGCAGGGTGATGACGTGGCTGGCCCTACACAATCTGATGGGGGCAGATCAGGATGAGATTTGGCTGAAAATAGCCAATTTTTTAAAGAGACCTCTAAGCCATTTTCTTCTAAAGCCATCCGGGGCTTGACCTATATGAAGTCTATTTATCATGTTTAATGCATGAGTGTTTTTTTTCCTGTTTTTTGTGTGTTTTTTATTCTGTACATTTGACCTCTTCTGAAGTCGTCCTCCCCGTGAGCAGAGTTGCCAGCTCTCCTTTCACACTACATGCACCAGGACTGCTGCAGGTGCCTGACATGCCTTTGAAGACAGTTGGCCTTGAAGATGAACTTCTTTTAGCCTGTCATAGCTTGGTTTTATTTGTTAACTCGCCTTTTGATAATCATTTATATTGTCTTTTTTTTAATTTTATTTTATTTTTACACCGTATTGTATTATGACACTTGTAGTATTCACCAGCATAGTCACTGTTCTGCCTATGATATGCAAAACTTTTTCATTACAATATGAAGTAAAGGTCTATGAAGTATAGGTTTCTGTGTAACTAATGTAAAAAAAACCCACAAATTTTATAAAATTGTACAGTTTTTTTAAAATAGCCTCACAAGCCAGCTAGAATATTGCATAGATCTGGTGTATCAGCATTAACCGTAGTATGCCTGTAAGGAGTATGGGGAATAACAAAGAAAATATAAAAAAAAAAACACCCCAAAAAAACCCAATTTCGATCCAGTAAATTTTTATCTAAGTTAAATAGTATTTCTGAGCTGTGCCACAACACCCTGACTGATAACCTGGGGCCAGGACCTCCCTGTTTGTTAAAGCCAGCACAGCATTAACACCAACTGGGAGGGATCTCCTGCCCCACCTAAATCTGAGGAATAACCAGTGGTGGGTTCCTGTAGTCTGTGGTTTCAAGACTATGTACAAATGCATTTTATTTTAAATAAAAGTCAAATCTTTTATTTAATATTCACCTGGGGCTCCTGGTTTTTGTGGTTCAGCTGCACCACGGCAGAGCCACGAGCAGCTCCCCCCATGATACACCCACCCCCACGCTCCCTCCTGCTGCTTTATCCTGTGCTTGCCAAAAAAAATGCCACCAAAACCCAAAGTGAAATACAAGGATGGGGGCAGAAGAGTCCAAGGTGGCAGCCGTGGCCCCTGTCCTTGGTCAGACAGAAGGTGCCTGAAGCAGCCTGGGGTGCAGGTAAGGTGCTGCCTGGGACTCGGGCGGTTGGTGCCCTCCCATCGCCTCGTTGGAAGGCTGCTGATGGAGCTCTGGGGTGTCAAACAGCCCCTTGGGCCACTCACTCCCAGAAGGACCTTGAGGGGCTGGAGTGTGGCCAGAGAAGGGCAACAAAGCTGCTGGGGAAGGGTCTAGAGCCCAAGTGTGGGGAGGAGCAGCTGAGGGAGCTGGGGGTGCTGAGCCTGGAGCAAAGGAGGCTCAGGGGAGACCTTCTGGCTCTGCACAGCTCCTGACAGGAGCCTGGAGCCGGGGGGGGGGGTTGGGCTCTGCTCCCAAGGGACAAGCAACAGGACAAGAGGAAACAGCCTCAAGTTGCCCCAAGGGAGGTTGAGGTTGGCCCTGAGGAACAATTTCTTGCCCTTGAGGGTTGCCCAGGGCTGTGCCAGGCTGCCCAGGGCAGTGGTGGAGTCCCCACCCTTGGAGGGGTTTCCAAGCCGTGGAGATGTGGTGTGAGGGACACGGGGCAGTGGGGACCTGGCACTGCTGGTTGAAGGGTTGGACTCAATCTTCAAGGTCTCTTCCAACCAATTCTGACTCTATGCCAGCAATGCCTGCAGCTTGCCCCCTGGGCACTCCCTCCCTGGCAGTGGGTGCCCAGAGGCTGTCACACATTTCCCCATGGCTGTTGCATTTCTGCAGCAATCCTCTTGGTCCTGGCCCCACGTCCTCCTGGGTGGGTTGCCCCTTTACTCCATAAAGGCAAGGGGAAGGAGCAGCCTGATGGTGTGATCCCTCCCCCCAGTCTCTCCTTCCACCACCAGTGGGACCTCAGCCGGGGCTGTGCCGGGGATGCTCCCAGCCCTGCCCTGTGCCCACAGGCTTGTTCTTTTGGGTGCTGGCAGCTCTCAGCTCCCTGGCAAGCCCAGGCAGCCATGGGAGGCACACGAACGTGCACACCCCTGGCTGGCAGCACCTAGTTTTTGGCTGGGTGAGACATGGCCATAAAAATGCACCCAGCCTGGAACAGCACCAAAGCTGGGCGTGGGAGGGGGATGGCACGACCCAAAATATTTACCTCCTATTGCACAGCCTGAGGTTCTGTGGGGTGGGGAAGTGCAACGAGGAGGAGAAAGGTGAGGGGAGTGGCTGCGTGTCCCATCCATCCCCAGTTGCCTCCAGTGGGGTGAATCGAGGCCCAGCTTTGCAGCTGGAGGAGGTGATCAGGCAGGAAATGCTGAGCAGAGAAGCAGAGGAGGTCGGGGAAGGGGCATGGGAAGGCAGAGGCTGCTTCTGACCGCAGCAATTCCCCACGCAGCCCCCCACCCCCCCGAGGACAGGAGCTGGGAGAAGCTGGGTGGGAAGTTGCAGGAGGCTGGAAGCAGCAAAGGGGTCTCAGGAGGCTTTGAGGTTATCTGAAGGAGGCTGCTGGGTTTTCTGGGATGTCTTTCCTTTCTCTTTGCATAAAAAGAGGTAAATGAAAATGAGCTGCTGGAGTGGAGGGGGAAAAAAAAATATAATCCGTGGTTTACCTAAAGTCTGGAGAAACACCAGATAAAATAGAGCACAAAGCTAAGAGCAAGCACCGGGCTGGCCAGCACAGATGGGAGTAGCCACACGCCGAGGAGGGACGGGGGGTGAGGAGGAAGCACATTGGATGATGGTTTAGGGAGGAGATGGTGGGAGCTGGAGCCTGCGGGAGGGCACGGAAGAATGGTCCACCCCAGGGACAAGTGGCAGCAAGAGCAAGTTGGAGGAGGAATCAATCATTTTGGTTGGAAGAGACCTTGAAGATCGTCAAGTCCAACCATCCCCCCAGCACTGCCAGGTCCCCACTGCCCCGTGTCCCTCACACCACATCTCCACGGCTTGGAAACCCCTCCAGGGGTGGGGACTCCACCACTGCCCTGGGCAGCCTGGCACAGCCCTGGGCACCCCTCAAGGGCAAGACATTGTTCCTCAGCTCCAACCTCAACCTCCCCTGGGGCAGCTTGAGGCCATTTCCTCTTGTCCTGTCCCTTGTTCCTTGGGAGAAGAGCCCAACCCCCAGGGTCCCAAGGAGGACATACCTGTTTGCATCAGCTGCCACTGGTGGGGTGAGTCTCAGGGAAACCAGGGTGTGGTGGGCGAGGAGGGTTCCCAGCAAGGTGCTGTGGAGAGAGGTGTTGGAGGCCAAGTGGGTTCTGAGGTGTTTGAACGTTAGGGCCAACGATGGAGGATGAGGAGGCTCTGGCAAGCCAAGGCACCATAAGCCCCAGCTCCCCCAGGCCTCCGCAGCATCGGCGCTGAAGGGAGTCGGGGGTTTATTCTGCTGATTCAGCAAAATCTGGCTGTGGTTGACCCTTCTGGGTAAAAAAACATAGACCAAATCAACCCCCAAACCAAAGAGAGCCCAGCCCGTGGGTGTCAGCAGCCCCAGGGGTGACTCAGCCTCGGGGAGGAAGAGCAACAACTGTTTGCCATCCACGGAGAGCTGCCCTGGAGGGAAATAAAATCACCTCCACTTTGCTAAGCCCTCGATGGGGAGGAGCTTCAGAGCCAACGGGGCTGTTTAAACCCCAGTTTAACCAGAACAAGCTGCAGAGGTGCCTGAAGATGGGATTCCTCCAACCCTACAACAGCAGGCAGGGCCGAGGGGGTGGTGGCTGCTCCTCCTTTGCTGACCCTGCTCTGGGACCTGGGGAGGGGGAAAAGGAAAAGATAAATCACTCCAGTGAAAGATCCTGATGGAAAACGGCTGCCGGGGGGAAAATCCCACTTCAGTGAAGGGCTGCAGGGGGTTTGCAGGGCTGGCTGAGTGGAGCAGACCCATGGAGAGTTTAAAAAATGAAGCCAAAAAAAGAACTTCTGTCCAAAACAGCCCTGAAGCAAGGAGCAGGGGGAGAGCTGCTCAGCCTGGGTGCGGGGGCACACCCCACTGCTGGGAAGAGATGAAAGAGGACATTTGGGGAGGCTGTTGGGTTTTGGGGGTGCAATAACACAAAATGACCCCCCAAGAACTACAGGAGGAGCTGGGTTATTGCCCACAACCAGGACATGTAGGAGCACAGGGCTGGTTTCCAACAGCCCCCCCCCCCGAGTAGCTCCCACCATGGGATTGCCACCCTGGGCTGGGGGGGTTTTCCTGAGGTGGGCAGGGGTTTAAGAAAGCTCCTTGAATTAATCCATAGCAAAACCAAGCTGGATGAGTCATTTCAGCACCTCAGGAAGCACTATGGGGACTTTCCAGCCTTTGGGCCAGGAAGGGGCTCCTGGGTGGCCAGCACCAGCTCCTCGGGGCCAGCTGGGTGCCAAAGCATCTCCCAGATTCCCAGTGCACACCCCGGGGGGATGCAAGATGCTGTCCCCTGCCTCCTCCAGCCCCTCACTTGGTTGAGCAACAGGGGCTGGGAGCCCATCAGGGGTGTGCCCCTGATCTGTGAAAGATCAGCAGCATCTTTCACACTGTGAGCTGGTGGAGAGGGGCCTTAAGTCACCCAGGACCACCAGGGATTTACCTGGAGTCGGCCAGGGCTGCAGGAAGCCCAGACTCAACGTCGCCACCACCAGCCAGAGATGAAACCACTGTGGCTGTGAGCTGC